ATAAAATATACGAGTAAAATTTTCGGTATCTTGTATATCACAGTGCATAACCTCCTCTAAAAATTCGAACTTTGAAATTAAATATCTCTGAAACTAGATGGTCAAAAAATTTTAATTTGCGTCAATCGATGCAGAATTATATGAATATTAATCTGCCAAAATTTAAAAAAATTCCTAAGAAAACGCCTCTGGCGAGGGTAATACCTTAAGTATGGTTAACATAAAAAAATAAGTTAAGTATTCGAAAATACTCATGAGTAAAAGTGAATAAGAGATAGTAAGTGAGTAAGCTAGAGAGTGAGTACTCGCACAAACTATAGTGCAGAACAACTGCCTTAATATATACAAAAGGTGAGAGCTATCGTATTGAAAGAGAATAAGAATACAATACGTGAAACTGTGGATGTTAAGATATCCCGCTGTTCTAAATTAAAGGACCAGTTATACTTAAGGACATCTTTTTACTTTTAAAGTGTTGAAAAATCTACCTGTTGCCTTCATCATAGTATAGCTACTTAACGAATATATCTTATAAAATGAATGAAAATTTGGATATAAGTTTATCTTATTTTATTGTGTAAATACAAATGTATTAACCAAATATTTTTCTTTATGATAAACGATAGGTGTTCTAGCTTTTACATTTTTATGATAATAAAATTCCAATACACCTTATATCATAGACACGATAATAGTCAAACAAACGAGGGTTGAAGGAATCAAGAATCAAAACCCTCTGGTATACTTTCAGGTGATTCATTGGACATGAATTCGAAACACGTGACTCTTCTTCCTTTCCAATGTGTCATGACACATTTAAGAGTGTATGACCTGGACTCACGAGAAAGCCCTTTACTTTCTTTTAGGGTTAATCGTTTTTTAATTATGAATAATAATAATAATAATAATAATCATTTATTAAGCCATAGCTATTCTGTTTTTACAATATAATAAAATATTTACAATGCAATTTACAAGTATATCGTACATTAAATCTCAGAAAATTCATTTTCTGGGACAACATGTATCTTTAACATACTTTATCAATCTTTTAAAAACTTTTTAATCTATTCTCAGATTTAATAGAGTCTGACAATATATTACAGTAGTCAAAACCTCTATATGTTATACATTTTTCTACTGAATGTGTACTATACGGGTAGATGCTATATTATTATAATAACCATCTTTCGTGTTATATTTGTATCTATTTTCAAGTATTACATATCGACGGTCTAATTAGCAATTGTTCTAACTCCTAATTTTTTAAAGGATGATTTTTTAACATTTTGATGTAGCAATAGTCCAATTATAAATCATTTGAATGATCCAAGTCAAAATATTATACCTCTATTAGATATTAAATTGTTTTTTAACGTGATAATAAATTTTGAACTAATTGTTTTTTCGTACAAATAGAAGATTCTCTAAAATGGTGTTAGACACTTTTTTATCAAAAATCAACAGTTAAATTTTGTTGAGCGAAAGTTGCATTTTAATAAATAAAAATAAATTAGAAATTTTTCTGAGTTAGCAAAGAAAGATAAAAATTCAAAAAAATAAAGATAATTTAAGGTAATCAATTACAAATAACGTTGGTTTACTCTATCTTAGATGAAAGATTACTTTACTTAAAATTAAATTAAATGGTGTAAAGCACCTCTGTCTAATTACCTAGCGCATTAACGTCAAAATGACTTATAACATTAAGAAAATGAAATTATCTTTCTCTTGGTTCAGCACTAGTTAAAACTCTAAATATTTTCATGTTTTTTTTTTTTTTGCTTTATCATCCAAAATACTATCACTATACTTAAAAATATCTCAAATATTTTAATATTTTTTTAAATACGACAACTATCTACTTTTTTAATATATATTTTGTAGAAGTTACTTTGTCTATCTCTATTATCATCATACTTGCTCATTACAGTTAATTTAATGTATTATCTACAGAATTATTTCCAACTGGAACTTTTTATTTCTTCGAATATGTATTGTCTTAAAAGATACGCTCCAACAGTTATTCAACAACATTCTACGAAAGAACAAATTACTTTTCGAATTAGTTCTCCAATTGCTTACTTATAAACTTATACATTTACTGTATTATATTGTAATCTAAATAATATTTTTTTACGGAAACACTGAATGCAAATTTTCCATATAAATTATATGCAAATATGATATATGTGTTAACGCGAATATCAACACCCTATTCCTATATTAACAACATTATGCAATTTCCTCATTAATACATATATAACTAAGAAAGTTACCGCACATTATTTTTTAATTTCATGCATAAATTACTGTGTTTAAGTCAGTTTCGTAGATTTTCTGCAAATGTCATAATAACTAAACGACAATTTTTTAAAATTAAAATTTCATAATATATTTAACATTTCAAATTCATAATTTTTTTTTAATAAATACGGGTAATCAGTTTGTGACATAAAAGCATAAAATCTAGTTGTATACGCTCCTAGCAAGAACATCTTGGACTTAATCAACTTAACTTAATTTTATCCTTACATTTTCTCCTATTATATATATATCGCTTAGTTTTGCCTTTAACATGTTCTTCAATATTGATAACAGCCTTGATATTTATATTTATGTGATAAATAATATAGATTCTTTTGCGAAACTATGTTTGTCAAATAGTCACTGATTCAGTGTATCCTATTTAATTTAATTTAATTATTTTAACAATCTAGGTTTGACTTTTAGTCCAAACATGGTCTTACTACTACTATTACTACACATAAGCTTTACTATAAGAATATAATTGTTATTTTTTTTTTCTTATGGAACCCGCTTATTGGCATTGCTGTAGGGTTCAATGTACTGTTAAATAAATAAATAAATATGATAAAATTTCAATACGCTATTATTTAAATTAATTTTAGCAGTTTGTCAATAATAAAAATTTTCGATCCGTGTTATTAAAATAAGTAATTATTTTCTAAATTTTATTACACCCGTCAATATCAAAATTAAAAACATTAGTTTAAAAATTTATTAAAATATCCTTGGAAAAAATTTTTTCATAAAATTTTATCGAGCTATTTTCAGTATAAAATTTTATTAAATATATTAAACTTACATTTAGTAAATTTGAAGAACTAAGGCTTTTAAAATTTGTATGTTTTTTCTCGAATTTAAATATGAAAAAAATCGAAACAAAAGTTTTAAAATTCATAAAAGTATAAAAATTAAATCAGTAAATACCATAATTAATAATCATTAATTTCCAGTCACCCATACTTAAAACCATATATTTATTAATCTTATTTAAATACTGTTGTGTGTTTAAAAAAGTAAACGTGAAAAGAAACCGCGCACACGTCTTTCACGTATATTTATGTACAATTATACATGCACGCAGCAACGTTGTCTGAGTCTGAAAAAACGGAAAAAACTGGATATAGTCATACATACTCTCTACAGTTACACACAATGATAATGAATAATGATAAAATAAAAGTAGTAGTTGCGAGTTTGCAAATGTACTCGCGGTATATTCAAGTATAAGACTTGAGTCTTACGAGTGGCATAATATAAGCTGCTTGACTGGCTACAGCCTCACAATACACAATAACTATCTACATACATGTTTGTACTATACAACACATGCATGTACATATATTAGTGAGGGTATACTATACGATATTGTAGTAAATTATACAGGTAAAAGTATGCTCAGGTGTAATCGTGTGTGGTAGAACTAAAGGAGCAAGCATGTGTGGTGGTACAGCTAACTGGGTGACGTCACCCGGGGCTGGGGGCCTCTAATGTTATGTGTGATATAAGTATAAGACCTATCTCTGGTTGTATAGCCACAAAGATATAATACAGAGAAAGAGTCGGAGTCTGAATCTGAGTAGATGTATTATATATTGTACGAGTTTAAAAGTGTACGAGAGTAAAGATAAGTGGGGGGTGATTCAGTCCCTGTTTGGTCCCCATCGAGGGTGGGGGTGGTTAACCAGCAAGTCCGCGCCGCAGGTACGCGCACTCAGGTACCCCGTAAAACCACTCAGGTAGCCATACTGAGACACTCTTCCAGGAGAGTATACTACGACCATGTTATCGTGACTTTTTTATTTATTTCAAACGCTTTTTTTCATCTTAAAATCTTCCCGTAATGGCGTGGCTGTACCTCTGGTTACCTTATATTCCCGCGTCAAACAGTTTGTTTAATCGATGCCGAAGTGTTTGATCGATATACAATAATTACAACTTATAACTGTTATTTAAATTTAAATTTAAATAATTTTATGTAAAACTGTTAAAAGTTATGTGCCAGTGTATTAAGTCGATAAAATAGTTTTTTACTTTTTTCAAATATTTAAATCACAAATACTAAAAAATAAATTGAATATTTTAAATTGGAGTTCAAATAAGTTATTTCAATGGAATTACCGAGTGTTTGTACAAGTGATTGAATTATATTGTAGCTTGTAGCAGCAACAGGCATTTTATAAAAATTTTTTTATAAGCACGTGGTTAATTGGTGTAATTAGATGTGCGCTGAAATTTTTAAGAAGTTTAAAAATTTTACGGTGTAAATTTAATTGTAATGGTTTTTATTATCTTATCTCGCAATTTTTTAGTAGACGGAGACACATACTAAAAAAAAAATATCCACATCATTTCATGTAAAAAAAATGTTGTTTAAACGAATTTAAAGGAGGATGTGAAATTGTTTGACGGAAAAAAAGTTTAAACAAAGTTGTGAATATGGTAAATAATGTTATCAAGTTTTGTTTCCGTGGAGTAACATTTAAAAGTCGGAGTTTAATACTTACGAGGAGACTTGACTGAAGGAAAATTTTATGGACAAAAGATTACAATTTGTTGCATATATTTGCGCTGTTGAGAGTTTTTGTGGGTGAAACTAAAAATGAAGTTAAGGATACTTTTTGATAATACTTAAACATCTCGAGTACAAGAGTTATTTCTTAAATAGATATATAAATAAAAGCTGTAAGTGTTTATTTACGTGGGTACTTTGGTTAAAAGGAGCTTATGAATATATAAAAATGCTAAAGTGGATAAAAGTGAAGCAGGACACTGCATCAGTTGCTAAAGAAACGAGTAACAGTAAAGTTGTGTCTAAAGGTACTGAAAATGATGATATTGAACCCGAAATTGAAGTCGCTTGTAAGGCTGATGACGGTGAAGCTGCTGCTAAGAAAGAGGAAGAGGAAGACAGTGGAATGGAGAGAGAAGACTCCCCGGCAATCGATTTGAGACGCTTGAAAAAAGTACGCTTGATATTTTATCAATCCTAAATGTCAATTTAATCATTTTTTTTTTTATTTGACGTAACACTTTTTTGTACAATCACTTATTTATTCTGTAAGTTATTTAATTTAAGAGCAAGACAATATCCATATAATCTATAATGTAATGCAATACAAATATAAACCTTAAAAAAAGTTATTATCGCAACCGCTTTGTACAATCGATTTAATTTTCTTTGGATTGACAAAGAGATTGTACAGATATTATGTGTGCTTGATGTTGACATGTATAAGAATTTAGTTAGTTATTTAATAACTGCTTATATATGTATGCAATATAGACATATTTAACTCGACTAATGTTATTATTAACAATTATTTTCTGTATATAAATTTTCATTCGACGATTTCACTCATTGGCATCGGAAAGTTGATTGGTGTGTTTTTCTGCAATAGTTGCACACTTACTTTTTTTTTAATTTCATTTTATTTAATATTTATTTTTTAATCAGCACAAAACCTGTTTCTTATAAAGACCACGCAATTTTAAATATACCGTTCCAACTTTGACATCAATGTGTCATTGACTTTTTTTGCTCAATATTTCGTGAAGCAAAATTACCAATCACTTAAATATATAACAATGAATTGAAATTAAACGGAGATTTAAATGGTTGAGCACGTTTTACATTAATTAACCTTGTGTTTCTCTATGTAGGGAGTTCAATTTAATTGTATCTCAGTTACCGATCTCCGTTTTTTATACTGAGGATTACTGTGCTGTACTATATATATATATTCCTTTTATCGAATTTCGTAGTAATTGCTTAGAATCGCAGGTTCCCTATTTTTCGTCGTAAAATATCCAAAAATTGAATCAGTATTTTTTGGAGTAAATTTATTAACCTCAAGACTGCACACTTTTGCTTAAAATTTTTATGCTTGATACTGAAATCAGCAGATACGTGAATTTATTTTATTTTTATTTTAAAAAATGAATTAGTATTTATATTTTATTAGTATTTAATTAGAATTTATGTTTATTAAAAAAGATTCTCAAACATGCACAGTAAAAAATTTTTCGTCATTTTGTAGAGTGTTAAAAATTTGTGTGTTGAATATTACACTCTAGTGTGTAGAATTTAACATTCTAGTGTGTTAAATCATTAAATCAACACATGAGAATGTGTATATTCATTTTAGTTTCACAATTAAATTTGTTTCGAACAATTATGAATTATCTTTCATTCAATTAAAATTTTTAATTTAAAAATATAAGAAAATAATTGTTTTATTTTCGGGTTTTTACGGCCAAAAGTAGAGCAGCGATTATGAACAATTACTAAATTAATTATTGTATATTACACGGTATTAAAGTTTATATAACTAGTAATCTATTTTTCTTAATGCATTCTCCCGAAAATTCTTCATCAGACAAGTTTCGAGATTTGAGCTTCGATGATAATTTGTCGATGAGGAAGTAGTGCATCCCCGACATATACTATAAATACCCTTAATTAAGCAACTTTGTTTACACAGACTTGTTCAATTCCACAATTCTATTGGTATATCACCGTTATTGTATCCGTTGCTGCTGTCGAGACAAACCGAAACGAAACCCATTACAAACTTTAAAACTTAATATTATATACTACGTACTCCATACTCCATACTACTAAAGATATTGAGGTACAAATAAATCATTGGAGGATTCAATGCTCATAAATGATTGCTTTTCTCCACATATACACACAATCATGTATCAATACTCAGGGTCGTAAAAAGTTTTAAACTTTTTATCGTTGGGTTACTTTAACTGCACTTTCATTTCACAATCTCTATCGGTAATGCATTCTACGATAATAAATTACCAAGGAAAAAACTAGTAAAAATCTGTGACGCTTCATTAATAATTTTTTAAATTATTGATTAAATTTATTAAAATAACCTTCAATGATAAACAATGGTTCAAGCTTGTTAGACACGAACAATAAAACTCAGAAGTATACCTACTTATAGAATTTTTTTAAGGACAAATAGAATAGCAGAGAAAAAAAAATTTTCTCTTTCAACAAATTCGTATACAAAAAACTAAAAAATAAAACTATATAGCCCCGGTACGGATCTATTGAACAAAATCCCTTTTATATTCGGTTTTTTGAACGTTTCTATTGTGATTGTTCCAGGACCTATTCTCCCAGCTGCAGTTTTCGCAGGACAGCGCTTTACCGCCCGATGCCCTTCGCCAAGCCTTAGCCAAGAGTTTCCTCGACCAACAACGTTTCCAATTGGGTTTTATGGACGACGCAGCAGAATGCTTCGTAAGTAATGGTTTTATGATCATAGACACAGCTTTTATCGTTATTAAATCAATCCAATTCTCAAGTTGCTATAAAAAATATAATTATCTGATCCCGTTATCGCGTAAAAAATCTATGTAAAAAACTAATAATATAACTAGGTATGTATGTATGTATGTATATATGTTAAGAAAATACCGGTTCGGGCCTTATATCTTACATCCTATATCTTACATATTATTTACTAGATAATTAACCTTCTTTGTTGTCTTTTTTAGAGTGCTCTAATCTGAGCACCTACGAAATTTTCATTTTAATTTATTAGCCTCTTTCGTATTACAATCACGTATCAAGTTCGCGTAGGTATGCGGTAACATATGTATCGGCACTCCTACAATAGAAATATATATAGACATTTGTATATTGTAATATGTAATATGTAATATATAACGTGTGTGGGATTTGAGACCAAGGACAATAAAAGCTGCTAATTTTAATGCCTGTTTAATATTCATCTAGGGATAGATTTTCTCTTAATTTAACTTTTTTGATAATTAATTTTTTAAATAAACTCTGCGATACCCTAACAGATCCTAAACACTCCTTTAATGCAATACAATTATTTAAAGAATATAAACTATCCAATCCAATTGATTACAATAACCTACTATAAAATGTATATATAAAAGTATATGTATAAAATTTATGTGTATAAAATATATGTATAAAATGTATATGTTCGTTAAATTAAACAGAACAATGTACACAAAAATATGTACTAATAGTAGTCGCTAAGGACCCTAGAGGTTGACGCGACTTTAAATAAATAAATAAAAAAAAAAAAAAAAAAAAAAACTCTGCGATATTTCAACCTATAAAAATGATATTTTCTTTTTAAAATTAATCAAAAATAAAAAAATTTTTAAATGTTAATTTTTTTACAGGAAAACATTTTGTTACGAATTCACCTACACATCGCAAGTGGCGAAGCAGAGGATATGTGCAGTGCAAGACACTGTGTTCCGCATCAAAAATTTGCAATGACTTTAGTGGAACAGAGCGTATGTGGCGCTTGCGGTGCCACATCTGAGCCATTACCGTTTACTCAGGTTTGTACAAATTATCCATACCAGCAAATAAAATATATACTAATCTTATAAATACATCTACAGACTACAATATATTAGTTTATAAGTATACTATACTAGCTTTGGTGGCCAGTGGCCAGTGACTAGTCAATATCCTGGACCGTAAAACAGCATAAAGCCCAAACTAAACCCTGGAGCGACAATAACAACAGTACAGCATCAGTTGGTCATTTATCATGCTCACGAATACCCTCGAGATCTTTAACTTAAGGTTCACTATTTAGATGGGTGTCCCTTTCCCACGTCTCTAACTGGGCGTATTTTACCTGGAAAAACATAAAACACCTTACTTACTTTACCTTTACCTTACACTAGCTTGTTATATTATACAGGGTCTGAACCGTGACCTTTGTGAAGTTGTTGAGTTATTGTTAATTTTAAGAGATCGTGGTACCCTTGGGGTAGTTTTGTCCGTTGTAAATTTAGTCTGCGGGGGTGGTTTTTTTCTCTTACTACATATTGGATTTCTTTATATATATGTATATATATTTTTTTATTAAATCTTCTTTTGACTGGGACGTGGGAAAAAAAATATTTGCCCTGCACCTTTTCAGCCTCCCACGACTCTCAGTAGAGCAGGAAACTTTCGTGATAATCAGAGCTGACTTGTCGTGCAGATGGTTCCGGCTTATCTGGATTTTTCTTTCTTATTATTTACCCGATTAAAGAATAGGGATCCCATGGTGTAGAGGGTATTATGAGTATAAGTAATTAAGGAAAACGTGAGAAGTTTAAGAAAAAATAGTGATGTTATTATTTATTTGCAGATGGTTCATTATGTCTCTGCGTCAGCGCTGACTTCACAAGCACGGCAAACTTTACCAGCGGCCAAGAACAGCCCTGATTTGTTCGGACAACTTTTGAGAAAAGCTGGCGGTATGGGAGATATCCGTGACTGCCCAGTAAGTATTAAAAAAAAATATAATTATATAATAGTTATGACTTGTATGTATCATCCTTATGGAAAATCCACTGACGTTGGTTCGAATTTGTTGAACGTTGAGTCATAAAAAGAAAGTACGACTCAAGTTGGTTTAATTAAATTGTATTATTCTTGGAAACCATAACGTGTGATTCTGTCATTTCATACTTTCACTCACTTTTTTTTATTATGATACAATTATTAATATTAATAATTTTATTCACACTCGTAACTCTTCTATGTAATTATCTTTACTATTGATACAACGTGATTATGATATTAATCTTATTTTTTTTCTTTTAATTTTAGAGCGCATGTGGTGCCAAAATCCAAATATGCCGAACGCTGATGAACAGACCGGAGATTGTATCAGTGGGTGTGGTGTGGGACAGCGAAAGACCGTCACTTGAACACATCATGGATGTGTTCGCAACTGTCGGTACGTGCTTGCGACTCAGTGATGTTTTTCACAGCGTTGTAGACTCAAGATGGGGTGCATCTACAGTTCACAATCTCGTTGGGGTAGTCACGTACTACGGCAAGCACTACTCGACATTCTTCTTCCATACCAAGCTAAAGGTACAAACCTTTTTTTTTTTTTTTTCTAATCTTATCACAATAAATAATTTTTATAAATTTCCTAATCATTTATATTTATTGTCTGTTTTGTAGGTATGGATATACTTTGATGATGCAACGGTGAAAGAAATTGGACCGAGATGGGAGCAGGTAGTGGAAAAGTGCAGACGCGGTCGTTATCAACCACTTCTTCTACTTTACGCAACGCCTGGTGGTACACCAGTTAACACAGAAAACGCGCCTAAAGTCGTAACGCCATTTCCCAACACTAAAGGCTGGAAGACGTCACCGCAGAAAAATAATTCTCGGCGTTCTGTTACACCTAGTCCAGAGAAGCCGTTGATCAGTAATACTGCCAGGCGAGCTATTACACCAAACCCTGATAGTGCCCAACCGCATGCTTACACTCAACGAAGAGTATACAGTGATTATCAAAATCTCACTGACATACAAAATAATATCTTTGGAATCAAGGTAAAAATTTATTTTTGACTAAAATAACTTTATTACGTACGAGTATTTTTTATTTAAATGAATATTTTTTTTAATAGGACGTTGACACTGTTGACGGTGAAAGTGAGTCAAAATACATAAGCCGTCGTGCAGTGGAGAACGTGATGCAGCATCAAAAAAAGCAACAAATGCAATTAACGCGTAGCTTAAGCGCTGGTTCTAATACACAAGATGGTTTAAGCATTCCGGATCACTTGAATGTACCACGAAGACGTGATTCTGGAAACTGGTCTGGAGATCGTAACAGCGCCTCTTCAAGCTCTTCAACGACAATGGATAATCCTTATCTGTACATTGTTCATAAAATGCAGAGAAATTCAGGTGTACCTAAAAGCCCAACCAGTAAATCTGGTGAATTGTCGAGTAGCAGCAGCGGTCACTATGACGCTGGATACGATTCATATTCACTTTCTTCAACAGACAGTCTTACTATTCAACAAAGTCTTAAACATAATTTACAAGTAAGTTTTATTAAATCATTATTATATTATATTTAATTACTATTAATTAGTTGGATTAATAAACAATAATTTTAATTGTTTCAGCTTGCTCAAATCCCTGAAGGTTATCAATCAACTGTTGGTAGTGATTGTGAACGACTGTGCAAAGAGACTGATGCACTGTTGGAAAAATCTCGTGCAGCAGAAGACGCCGGTGATTTGGGTACCGCTGTAGCACTCTGCAGTGCCGCAGCTAATAAAGCACGAGCCGCTATGGATGCACCTTATAATAATCATAATACCATCACAGCAGCACGTCTGAAAGTAAATACTTGTGTAATGAGATCGAGAAGTCTTCACAGGAGGATACTGCAAGAGCACGCGATAGCTAACGGTGGAAAAGAAGAAGCCGCGGCTGATGGAAGACATACAAGAGAAAACAGTAAATCTGGACAACATTCTCGACAAAATTCACGTGACAAAGGCAATCATTCACGGCAAAATAGTCGTGAGTTATTGATAAATACAACACCGGTAATAGATAAACCAGCGGTTAAAAATATTGAAATCTATGCAACTTTGCCGAAGAAAAAGACTTTGAGAGGTAAAGCTACCGCTGTAAATGTTATTGAAGATGAAGAGTACATGTTGTATGATAAACCAACTCAACGAACGGGATTTTTTGGTCGAACAAAACGATGTGATGATGATAAGAAAGAGAAAAAACGGGCTAGGAGTGAAGAACGTAATAAAAATATTTCAAAAGACTTTTCAATAGCACCCTCAAAACCTTCTGTGTCGCCAAAAAACACTAAGCCAGATAAGACTTGTAAAGAAACCTCTGATTCAAGTAAAAGTTCACAGAGTAATACAACATCAGCGGCTGTTGATCAGAAGCAAGGTAAAAAGCAGCATAAAATAAGAAGAAAATTATTAATGGGCGGTTTAATTAAAAGAAAAAATCGAAGTATGCCCGATTTACGTGAAGGTCAAGATGGTCAACCGATTGCTGCGACTAAGGAAAATACTTCGAATACATTGCCAAAACAATCAGTTGACGATTCAAATGTCGGTTTGAAAGCCAATGAAGTCGGTCAATCTTTAAGCGGTTACTTGTCGGAGGGCCACCTAGAGTTTGCCGGCAACTGCAATGCCAATCCAAATTTAGAACGAAGTCGTCTGATGAGAAAAAGCTTCCACGGTAGCGCTGGTAAGGCGTTACACGTTGCGAAAGTTCCTCCGCCACCACCGCTCCGGACCACTTCTCAGCTTAGCAAGTCTAAGTGTCCTGAAGTGCGCAATGAGCAAGATAACATCAATAAGTCCTCATACAATAATAATAATAATAATAATAATAATATCAACAACAATAATAACAACCAAATTAATGGTAATATTAATAATAATGATGGACAATGTGCGATTACTTCTCCTCAGGATCAAACGACTAATGCTTACTGGAGTCATTTGAATCCAGCTAATTTTGATTCAAACAGTCAACTTTGTCGTAACAATTATGACGAATATTTATCAGAGCCCCAGTCATTACCATTTCTACCATCTTACAATTCTGAAGGAAATAATTTAATGACGTCGCCGGTTAATGTTAATCAGCAGCAACAACTGCCACAAAATGGTCCAGCTAAACCAAGAATCCAAGATGACGTTGTGCAGTATGCAAATGGTATTTTGTATGAACCAACATTTGTTGTCACGCGAGCTGATGTTCACAATGAACAGAGTCCAGTGAAAGGTCAACAATTAGAAGTCCTTCCACCTTATCCTGAAAATATGACCAATGTGTCACATTCAAGACAACCGAGTGAAGACTTCCCACCTCCACCTTATCCAGTAATCCCCTCGGTTAATCATTCACGTCAACCTAGCGAAGATTTTCCACCACCACCTAGTCCCCTTGAAATTGAAAATACTCTACTTTATCAGCAACAACAACAACAGCAGCAACAATTACAACTACAATATTTACAACAACAACAACAACAACAACAACAACAACAACAACAGCAGCAAGAACAACAACAACAAATTAATATTCAGCAACAGCAACAACAACTGAAACATCGCCAGCATCAGCAGTTGCAGCAACAACAACAGCCATCTCAACAAATGCAAATGCAAGCAAGTCAACAGCAGTCAATGGAGGCTCAACAAATAAGCAGCTTGTTAGCTCAATTACAAAGTAAGAGAGCGCAGGTTATGTCTTCTGAAAATGTTGAAGAAAAGAAGAGAAACTCAACGCATGAAGATGAGGATAAAAATGGTAGTGGAACTTGGTTACGTGAACTACAATCTAAATTAGGTGAAAGAAAAATGAAGAAACAGGGACCGCTGGATGGTCAGGATGTCCCGAAAAGCATTGCTAGGCGTACTAGTGATTTGATGATGAACAGTGTTGGACCAATAACAAATCAACCGCAGGGCGTTGATGTAACTGATTGTCCTCGAGTAATTTCTTCGGTTAAGGATATGGCTGCGAGATTTGAACAAATAAAATTACATCCAACGCCTAAAGTTGATTTAGACGGTAAAGTTCAGTTAAAATTGACTTCCAATTCAGTATCACCCTCGCCAACAATGGGAAACAGCAATGAAGTACAAAAAACAGAAGAAACTATTAATCAATTGCCATTGTCGAGCGAAAATTTAGCAGCTTTTACTAAATTTGATAACTACACAAGTTTGACATCGAGCGCTGAATCAACTTCAAGTCAAAGCACATTCGTTGCACTACCATCTGACAATTCATCAAGTAATCATCAGCAGACTAGTGGGTTAAACGCTGCTATTTTATCAATGTCTCTGACATTACCTCACGAGACTGGTCTTCCAATAGATTATCCAGAAGATGATATTAGTGAAGTAGCTATGCAGAATACTATTCAAAATACAACAATATTGCCAATGGAAGCGGATTTACTCGTAGCTAAGACAAAACGTCGAAGCGGTAAGAAGAAGAGTGTATCATTTTGTAATGAAGTTGTTCTAGTAGCAGCAGCTGATGACGATATAAAGCACTCTGAATATCCTCATCCAATTCTTGAACGTGTATTAAGATCAACGATAAATAAACCTGAATCAGTTCAAGTAATGCGTGAAATACAGAGCCTAAAAGAGGCTGAGATGAACCGTGACAGTAATCAAGTGACAAGATTCCAGCAGCACACATTGCCATTGAAAAACGAAGCGGACAGTACACCATCAACCACATTCCAAGATCAATTGAGGAGTGTCAATCCTATAATACCGTTACCGGTCGATAGTAATTTACGACCGACTTTCACGCGTCAAAATCCCACTGACCCGCCGGTAAACACAAACACCTCGACCTCGATTACTCAACAACAAGAGCCCAAGAAGTACACTCCTTATGTTGGTAGTGACTGTCATAGTGATGTTATACGGGATAGTTATCCACCTGCTGTCTCTTCTTCAGCACAATCTAAAATGTCTTACTCACCGCAACTTCAACAACAGATAAGATATGCCCAGAATGGTTTGACGTACAATCAGTCCTCCTCTTCATTGTCTACTCAAGGATATACTCAACTTCATCCGTCTCATCCATGCAATCCAGCTGTGCCAGTATCGCAAACACAAAAACCCGCGAGTCCTTACACAGTACAAATGCACAATCAATATCCACAAGTTAATATTCAGCAACAGCAACAACAACAACAACAACAACAACTTATTATGAACAACAACAACAGTGCTCAGAAAAATGGATACCCGGTATACTATCATCTCGATCAACAACACAATCAGATGAATTTACAAATGACTAACCAGCAGTTTCAACAGAACGGGACAAATCGAACTCAAAGTGTAAATTCCAGTCCTATTACTGTACAAAATCCTCAACAATTCGGATATCAAACAAATCAATCTCAAAATTCTTATCAGCAGTACCCTACGCAAAACCAGTACTCGAGCAATAATTATCAGGGTTACACGCTTCAAAATGGCGCTCAACAAAGCAGAGCGAGCCCTTCAATTCCTCAGTACCAACCGCCACCTAATCTAGCGGTTTATCAATCGCAACAATCCCAATCTCAACTTACATCACAGAAAAATTTACCACAGAATCCACAAAATCAACAACTCCAGTCTCACCATCAACACCAAATGGCTCAAGCGTTTCAACAGCGCGGTGAAAATTATCAACGTCCCCCGCAAAAAACAGATCAGCAAAATATCCTAGCACCGAATCAAATGTACACAAATTCTCTGCAAAATGGACAATCTAATATAAAGTTACAAAATTACCAACACCCACCTGCTAATTCTGCTGTTGCGATTAAAGCACTCAAACAAGGGCCGCTTTTGACAAATGGTAAATCTAATTCTATGAGTTTACTTCAACCGGCAAATCCAATGCAAAAAACAATATCTGCGCCAGCCATTTCACGAGCAACACTCCCTGTAAAATGTAATCTTTGTCGCCTGAAACCAGCTACTGAAACCGGAATGTTCTGTGTAAATTGTGACAAATTTGTGAATAGATCTTGGTCGAAAAATTGAATAATTAATTAATCGTACTTATTATAATTTTTATTTTATTTGTTAAATTGTTCTACGCGCGTGCCATTACTCTCACTTGTCAATACGATTGAATTTGTGATTAATGGCTAGTAGATTTTATTATTTTATTGTAATAAGTTTATATATACAATACAAATGACCTTCATCGAGCAGCTATAGATTTATTGTAATATCACTATTATTAGTGACAATTTGTTTTTTATATAAGTTACAGTTGTAAATTGTACTATGTAAATTTTTAATTATTGTAATTTATCGTTAATTTTTTTTTTTTTTTTTTTGTTCATTAGAGTTAAGTTATTAAGTAATTATTATTTTCGATTAAAAATGACTGCATTAAAATTTTTTTATAATTGTAAATAGATGATAGGCAGGTACTTAAAAAAGTATTATATGTTCTATTGCAATTACTGAGATTAAACCTCTGCAAAATGCCGAGGATTTTATTATTAAATAAATAATACTATTTGTAGTAGGTATTCTAAGAATTGTGATATTAGTAACGTCGTGTAAGATTATACTTTCAATTGTACAAGATTTAAAGATTGTTTAATTAAATGTTACAAATGAAATAAATACTTCTATATAATGTAAATCTAAGATAATATTATTATAATAGGGAACATGATCTCTGTAATATGTGTGTATTGTGTTAAAAAATTATTTTTACATGTTAAAAAAATATGTGTTATGTTAAAGAATAATTTTACTGTGCTATTTCAATGTACAATTTTATCTTTATTATTATTATTATTATTATTAATATTATGATAAGTATTTTGTTTTAAAAATACGAAAATATATGTCCGCCCATGTCTCAATAAATAAATTGTTCTATATAAAATAAATATTTGTTTTGTTTTCTATTCATCAAGCCTAATTTAATCTATATCATTAAAAGAATAAAGAAAATTTTGTCTCCGGCGTATTTATATGATAAAATGAATTTTTTAATTACAATTAATAGTATGATTAAAAAGGCCTTGATCTGTAATTATGCCTTTTCAATATTTCATATGTTTTTCAGCAATAGTTAATTTATTATGATAAGTTTTCGAAGTATAGTTTTAAATAGATTCGAATTTCGCGATAAGCGTTATTCGTTTATTTATTTATTTTGTTTTGTACATGTAAATGTCGTAGGTCAAAATTTAATTTATATAATTATATGCCACAAAGGTGTATGATAATTATGCGCCCTCATGGCATCCAGAAACCATAAGGGCGTATAAAAAAATTCTATTTCGAGAAAATTGACGTACTTTCAGCAGGAAGGTGAAAAAATAAAAGAAAAAATTTTTCCTCGAATTAAAAATTTATTTTGGGCTTAGAAAAAAAATTGGATTTTCAAAGAAAAATTTTTAATTTTGAGAGAATTTTTTTTTTAATTTCTACACGTTTTAGGCACAAATATATCGATTCCCAAAAAAATTTTTTTATACGCCCTTATGCCTTTTCGCTGGTACCTTTTGCCGGTATACGTCCTTATAACATCTGTAACGCGATGTCTTCATCGTAAATTGTTTTTGATAGTTTTTCAGCGATAGTGATTTTAATTTTGAATAATTAAGAGAGTACGGAAAATTTTGCGGCAAACATATTATTATTTTAAAAGTAATTTTATAGTTAAATTTGGTATCATCAAAAAGGTCTTGATATGAATTTGTGTCTTTCTCAATTTTATATATTTTTCAGTAATGGTCAATTTTTTATGTTAAATTTTTGGAGTAATTTTGAATATTTTATTGGTTCTATAAATTTGTACAGCCACATCTTTCATTAAATTATTTATAATTGATCCTGTCATAGGACTATCATTTTTCAAATTTATTTCAAAAATATCCATACTATATCTAGTATAATTTAATAAGTAATATCAGAAAATCATTAAGCCAAAATTTTCTTATTCATAATCCGTAAATCTCGGCAGTCATATAGTGACTGCAAGTTGCTAGTTATAATTATTATTTCATTCTAGAATGAGAAAATTTTAGTAATAACAATTTGTCCACGATTTTTAAAATAATGTGTATCAAATAAAAAATTAACAGTTAGTGATAATAGAATATATGTGATGACTCTACTCTGCAATTTTTAACATACTAACAAAATGTGGTGATGAATCATTGCCAGTACTCTATTGTAATAATTAAAGTGATTGCTGGTATACTTTTAATAATGTTAATAGTAAATTCTTGAACCTTGTCGATACTTTTTGTCAAACACTAAAATTCTTTCAAATAATGTTTCATACTTTTTAAATAGCTTTTCAATCCTTGATCGAGCGGCTTGATTAAATAACGTGTTTTTTATTTATTATCAAAAAATTTTTAACTTTTCTTTATATTAATATGAATTCTTTACCCATCGAAAGTACGGATATATTTATACCTGATCATGTATGGCCCGATATTTTAAAACATATAAGTCCGTTAAAGTTATTTGTACTGCGTCGGACATGTAAATACTTCAAAGATATTATTGAAGAAATGTTTGAGAAAAACAGTACATGGAAAGATTTGTGTTTGAACAGTAGTATAAAACCCTGGATATGGAAGATCCAAGAAAAACTATTTCCTTACGCAGAGAAGTACACTACAGAGAAATTGGATAAAACTTGGAAGGACGTTTTTTATTCTTATAAATATTGGCGAGCATATTCAAAACGTCGTTCTAAATTCATCACTCTTAATCTTCGCAACAATTCAGTGAATTATAATTATGTAAGATGCAGTGACGCATTTGGTAAGCAAGTTATTCATATCATATATTTATATTTGTATTGTTAAATTGGTTCACTGATTTAAATGTTTTTATTTTTCATTAAAGGTAATTATTTTACAATTGCTTCTGATCGCGGAGTTGTATTTTTATTTATAATTAACGATCAAGAGGATGATTTATCTAACAGTATAAATCTACTGCATACTTTCACTAATAATCACAATGTGATTTATCGTCAATTGAAATTTTGGAATGCAGGTAAAATAAAGTTTTTATTCATGTAATTTTCATCGAAATTATGTTCTAATCAAAGGAGTGTAATTGTAGCAGACGTCCTAGAACTTTTTAGAAAATTTATAAATATTAAGGTGACGCAAAAAAACCGACTATTTTTTTTTTTTGAGTCTCGAGTGAAAAAATGTTAATTTTTGATGTTTTAAGAGCCCTCACCAAAGGACAGCTAAAAAAAAAATTTTTAAGAGGTCACTCCAAATTTTTCAAAATTTCAAAAATCGTCAAAAATCTTTAAATTTTTTTTCTCGTTACGGTATAATTTTATAGACCAAAAAAAATAAGTTTCTGAAAGTTTCAGTTCAAAATTTAAATTTTGAAAGGTCGCTCATAATTTTTTTAAATTTATTAGTGCATTAGTTTAGATTTTTTCGAACGACCTTTTGCTATTCAAATTAAAATTCCATGCATTTTTTTTTATTTA